ATCTGAAATTAAGTTATTGCATCTTTACATGTATTTCTCGAGGTATGGTCACGAGAATCCCTGCATCAGAAATAACTCCTCTCCCTTAGTCATCTTTCCGTCAAGCAAGTTTCTCGTTTTAGCTTAATATGGTTGGCGACGTCGCCGACCAAAGGGGGCAGTAACGCACCAGGAGCGGCATTCTTTATTTCCTTCTTTGCGGCTTACTCTGGATGCTACTATGTTTCCTCCCATCATGTGCAAACTACATGCACTATATAGTGGAGTATAATAGTGAATATATATATCGACTCTCTATGTATATATCTATGTATATATATATATATATATATATATATATATATATATATATATATATATATATATATATATATATATATATATATATATATATATATATATATATATATATATATATATATATATATATATATATATATATATATATATATATATATATATATATATATATATATATATATATATATATATATATATATATATATATATATATATATATATATATATATATATATATATATATATATATATATATATATATATATATATATATATATATATATATATATATATATATATATATATATATATATATATATATATATATATATATATATATATATATATATATATATATATATATATATATATATATATATATATATATATATATATATATATATATATATATATATATATATATATATATATATATATATATATATATATATATATATATATATATATATATATATATATATATATATATATATATGAAATTTAATTTAATTGCTAAATTGTCTGCAAATTTCTGGGAATTACCGCCAAAAAAATAAGTCATTTTTATCGTAAAAAATCACAAATCAATGCGAAAAACTAGGAGGTCGGATATATATTCACTTTAACTCCCTTATAGTGCATGTGTTTGCACTGTGGGGGAAACAAGAGCATCCAGAGTAAGCCGCAAAGAAGGAAATAAAGAATGCCGCTCCTGGTGCGTTACTGCCCCCTTTGGTCGGCGACGTCGCCAACCAAATTAGGCTAAGACGAGAAACTTGCTTGACGGAAAGATGACTAAGGGAGAGGAGTTATTTCTGAAGCAGGGTTTCTCGTGACCATACCTCGAGAAGTACATGTTAAGATGCAATAACTTAATTTCTGATGCTGTGCTCAAAAGCACTTTAGTAATTTATAGTAAGTACTACTATAAATGACTGCATTATGTAGTGTAATTTATAATAAAGAGTTGTAAATATATATATATATATATATAGAATTTTAAATGTGTAACACCTGCTTTTATTGGATTTTTTGTTTTTGCTGTTATATACTATAATGTGTTTCTGTTTAGTACAGCATATTATTTACAGTAAATAACTCAACTAAACTATTATGCCTCATATGTTTCATTGGTAGTTTTATTGAAGTCTAAGATATGACTGACTTGGATTTAAAGGGCCATAAAACCCCCTCGTTTCAGCAGGGTGTTTTCACACCTCTACTTTGGAAAAAGTCAGAAAAGTGGGCGTGTCCAGCTCTGTTTAGGGGGGAGTGTCAGAGGAAGAAAAGACGCTTGGTGTGNGAGTGTCTATTTGTGTCTATCANAACACACAACCACAGCGGACACTGTGACTGTGTTTACATGGACATCTGTTGTCGAATTATTTGCCCAATATTANATGNTGNACTTTAACTGCAGTTTGGCTCTTTCATTCAGGGAAATCATTCATGTCCCTCCCACAAACGAGATATTTGATTTCGAGGCGCTGCTCTAAGCGTGTATTTTCNATGCAATGTTTGATACCGCACGGCGAATGAGAGAAAAAAAACTTCCACATTTCCCGGAAACTTAGATGCACACGGCAGGTAGCGTCAGAAAGCCGCGTGTGTTATTCTGGTCACAAAATCCAACACGAGGTTATAGTTTGGTTGTAGTGCTAACTTGTTTACACTGGTGCAATAGTTTGTNTGATACGAATAAAATACGAACTGAATAAACAAAGAGCACTGGTCGCTCACTTACCAAATCTGTAGAGACAGGACAATCACCAGCAACTAGGTGATCTTTATCAAGAGGAGACTAAAGCGAATCCGGATCTCAGCGTTTGCAGATGAGAACAGCTCTCAGGTAAACAATAATCCTCCTTAGACACGTAAGTTATTGTTGTCGAGCGTCGCGTACACTGTTAATCCACACGTGACTCTGCGCTCTCACAGAGAGAAAATGAAAACAAAACTTAACTGCAGCAAACTATTAAAGCAACACTTCACGCTTGTTTTGCCAACACAACGTGGCGTCTCTGCCGTCTACACTCTGACAGCAATGAATATTAATGAAGTTGCACAATAGAGCGCGCTGATTGGTTTGAACCAAGCCTTACTCATGCATTAATGCAACACACTGTAAGACGTAATAAGACACACTCTGGCACAGACGTCCAGTCTGCACGCTGGAATACACGCTATTATGTCATGGCCGTGACGCAGCTTCAAAATTCGTTTCAAACAGGAAGTACGAATTTGCTTGAAATAACGCAAAAACAACCAATTTACACTTTTTAGTGAAATATAGGTGTCTTAATAGTGTCTTTAGCAGTGTGGGACACATATACGACTGTCAACAGCTCAAAAAATGTGTTTTGGTGTTTTGTGACCCTTTAATGGGCACTTTAGACTGTAGGTTTTAAGGCATTTGTGATCAAGGCATTGTCAACAGCAACTCGGAGAAGCATGTGAACAAAACAATGGACGGGGGCTTTAATGCAAGTGCACTGAAAGGGGATCAAAAGAACTGTCTTGGAATGCCCTGTAGTGGAATGTCCTGGGATGCCGTTGATTTTTAAGGTAATGGGGTTTGCAGTACTTTTCGTGAAATCCTTGCACACTGTTAATTCATGATATTTGACAGATCCACTCCGAACGTAAAGCGACTACGTGACAGGAATGGGAGCATCTTACCATCATTGCTTCAGACTCAGGAAATGTTCTTTGAACTTAACACCACTAGGCCTCCAGAGGAGCTGTAGCCTCTTTTGCCCCCAGGAAGCATGAACCACACGGAAGGGGATAATAAATGCAACCCAGTCATCTAAGCGCTCCCGTGTGCCAAATGGTACCACCCTGCCCTGTGTGAGGCTCGAACTCACGACCTTCAGATTATGAGACTGGAGGCCTACTGCGCCAACAA